TCTTGTCCATTATTATAATTTAGTTTTAGATAAAATAGATAAATAGATCTCAATATGTTTGTGTTGTTTTGAATGTTGTAGTGTTGAATTTATTTCATATCTTTTTAAGTTTTTTGAACTGAAAAATATACCGGGGTTATATTTCCGCCAGAAGAGAAAATATACCTAACTATTGTTCTAATGTTACTTAAATAATAAATCCCCAAGACCAGAAAATAAATACTTAAATGCGATCGAGGCTGGACAAGTGATAAGATACATCGCGAGGCTATCCAACTTAAATGTATAGAGAAAGGAAAAGTATCCGCATATCGGAAAAAAGCAAACAAAAAGAAAAGTATGTAAATTCTGATCAAAATTCTGCCTACAGAGGCTGCCACAGTCAGAGAAAATCAAACGAAGAAAACCAATTCATAGACAGTATTCGGCAAGTTAACATTAATATATACAAAAGGCCCTTTGACACAATAAAAATCAAAAGTATTCATACAAAGCGTTCTCCCCATTATGACATACGCTTGCAAAACCTGGTTTCCTAAAAAGACTTAAGAAAAAAAAGACTCGAGGATATGATGTAAGACATTGCATAACTTATCCGAAACAGGCAGGACATTTCGTAATAAAGGAGGTCAAAAAAATGGAACCAGGTGACTATCTGTAAAACGAAAACAAGCACAAGAAACAGAAGATCAGAGCAACATGGAAATCACCAAAACTGGCGGAATAAATTAGATGAAAAGAACATTAGAAGCAGCCATTTAAAAGAGGTGACTATGTAGAGTGAGAACAAGAAAAAGAAACAGAGGACCAGACCCAGATGCAGCGATGCCATCACCAAACCTGGCGAAAGACGGAACATTAGAAGGCGGCCATTAGAAAAATCTTAGAATAAAGTATTTAAGACAAACAGATAATGATCCACCCTTTAACTGTTAGAGGACAAATATTTTACCCGCTTTACTGAAGAGAAAGATGTACAATAAGACAGTTAACTGCAGTACGGCCGGTAAGTACTTTCAGGGGAAAAAATTGAAGCGAAAGCAAAGTAAACAAGATAAATCATTGATCCATTACTGTGATAAAAAACACATGACGAATCAAAGAAACGAACTTTTCTCACTAAGCGACTAAATTAGTTTAAAAAAAAGTGAAACAAAGAAACATGATCAAAATGTTCGTTTTTTATTACCAATGCACAAAATTATGTCACGTTCTACTGCATAAATAATATCAACATTGCTTGTTGACACAATTAGAGCCCATTCTTATTATTACATAAGTATTTATTGAGCAGCTGTGATCAAAAAAATATCGAATTGTCTTTTCGAGAAAAAAATCTTACGTAAAATAATTTTACATTTGGAAGCACATATTCCAAGCACTAAATAGAGGATTCCTTAATAACAAAGAAATATCAACAAAGAAAAAGATGACAATATACAAAACAATAGGTTTGTTCTAGCAAACAGACAAACTAGTCAGAAACCGTCAGCAAACAGTTGGTCAGCGAGAGAAAATAATACAGTCACCAGTGCTATATCCCCTCTACTCGCACTGGTCCACTATTCGCTGATGGTTTCAAACCATTTGAAACTGATGCTAGAACAAACCTAATATATAGACCTACAGTGACTTATGGAGCAGAAAATTGGATACTAAACAAAAGGCATCAAAGCAGAATTCAGGCAGTAGAGATGAAATACCTCAGAAGAACGATCGGAGTAAAAAGAACCGATAGAATCAGAAATGAAGAAATAAGAGCAAGACTCAAAATCAAACCGATATTCGACTCAATCAAGTAGAAAAAATTGGCCTGGTTCGGACATCTAACCCGGATCGACAATAATAGACAAGTAAAAAGATTGTGGGACGCCAAACTAACAGGGAAGAACGGAAGAGGAAGACACATTAAAGAATGGAACAGTGACATCTCGCAGATACTACAGAGTAAGGGTAAGACTTGGCAGGAAGCAACACAGATGGCATACAATAGGAAGGAATTGAGAAAGTTCGTTAAGAGCTAAAACATCTTAGAAGATTGTAAAATATTGTAATATAAAGAATTGTATTATAAACGGCCCAACACCGAAAGGTACAAATGGTTCTACTGATTAAGTAAGTAATTTTACATTTGAATCATGAGTTTCAGAAATAAATATACATCACAACATCACAGAGAAGATGAAAACAATTTGTAAGAATGTTATTTTTGGAAAGCTTGTAAATTTTAAAGAATAGGTACCTAAATGAAATATCAAAAACTGAATTAAAATTAAAACTGAGAACTTTGGAAAAACATCGTCATATAGTGGTTGATGTAAGGGATAGTATTGGAAAATAAATACCACTCAAACAAATAATCACAACGTAAAGAAATGTCTCGAGCTAGCGATGTCTAACAAGTTTGATTTGATTAACAATGCAAACAATGAAACAATACTTATAGAAATATAGGAGACCAAAAACCACGGGATCAAACTAATTAATAAAATTGTCCTGAATTGAAGAAAACTTACAAGAGCTGAAATCCAGAAACTATACAACAAACCAGAGAAAATAAATCAACTTTATGCATGTTAAGATATGGAAATGTAAGTACAAAAGACGATTTTCATCAAAATAAAAACAGAAAAACACATATCCATATACGTACAAAAGAAAACTTACTCAATTGAGAAAAAATAAGAATCCATAAAATTCCAGTTAAAACAATCTGCAGATAAATTTTAAACACAAAATGGTATCGAATAGAAAAAGAAGATGAAAACAGAAAAGCCAGCCATATGTGACGCAATATATCAAACGGAACTAATTGAAACTGTGAACTGCGTAGACACAAGAAAAAAATCAAACAACTCAAACAGATAAATATTGAAACGGATATATTACGATAAAATGAAGAATAAAAAGTAAATGAAATGCATAAAGATTATAAAAAGAAAAAACTGAAAGGAACTTCAGAAGATAAAAGAATATACCTACGTACTGAAAAATAGATCACGCAAAGATAACAATTTAAAACAAAAGTGATTACTTAAATGTTTAGAAAAATATGAACCAGAATATAGAAAATGTAAAAATATACAAACAACAAGAGGTATGATCAAAAAACTATTTCACAAAAAAAATTATAAATAGATCAAGACAATATGGCGTTTAAAACAAAAGACTTAAATGACAAGAACACATATTTCGACAGAAGAAATAAAAATTAGGCTAGATGTGTAAAAATAGTAGTTTTAAAATAAAAAAGGGTAATAACCTCGTTTCCGTTTATTTTACTTTTTTCATTCCGCTAATTAATTCGTATATCAGAGGGGATTGATTTTTAAATCATCAGTCCTAATATCTACCAAGGTAAAATCCCCTGCTGAGAGCAGGTAGCCATTCCACTTACCTTTGGCAATCAATAAGAAATTTCTCGTAATCCACAAAAAGTATCACAAAGTAATCCTTTGGAAAAGTGCCACACTAACTTAAATCCACTGTATTTTCATTGCACACTGTACATGTCTTTTTTCACTGCGAAATTGGTTTCTTACACCCGAACTGGTTAGAAACTACACCAAACCAAACGGTACTATACCAAAAATAACATCCGACGTGGCAAAGAAACGAAAATAGCAATCGAAACGACAAAACACACAATCGCTCTTTATTATTATCGTTGGGTAAACATTTTTCTACCGCACACTCTCGCACTATTCATCCACTTGCCACTGCCAAAAGCCACTTGCACTTCAGCGGGTCACTATTGCGATGGTAGTTTGCCTATGTCGTTGGAGGAATGACCACTTGAGTCAGATTTCTTTGTAGCGAAATTTGTTGTTTGAGAATTCGCGACAATGAGAATAAAAAATGACAGGCGCGGTTCGAAAAGACGACTGATTACACGTTCCCTTCGGATGCCACGACTCGAATGCGAGCGGCGAGGCGGGAAAGGAAAAGCACAACGCAGAATTGGGGAGTGGGGGTAGTAGCCGCTCGTTGTCGTCCTCGTCAGCTTCTTGCGTCGTTGCCAATATTTCTTTCTTTCCTAGATCTAACGTATTCATAAGATAAATGAAAAATCTTGAGAATAACCCAAACAAATCGATCTCGATTCTCGACGAAGTAAAAAATCGGTGAACAGTATGGGAATGATTGTTAATGACAGCCGTTATCTTTGGTTTACAACAGTTGTTGGAAAAATTATTGCAGATAATTGAGGCTATGAGTGGGCTAACCCCAAATATTGAATAATGGATTTACGTGAACCAAGAATACTTATATGCGTTTTTTTTAAATTTTCTAAAATTAAAATATGATGGCAAAAGATAGTCATGTTTACAAAATCATTAACTAATAACAAAAAACTCGAAGATCTTGCAGTATATTTAACAAAAATATAAAAATTTAAGCATTTTTTGTGGATTAGACGCAAAAGGGCATGCTTTTGCATCAGTGTGACCTTAAAAATTTTAATAGGAATGTGGATTAGTCCTAGAGTACAAATTAAACAATATCAATGTTGAAAATATGCTTTATTAAAAAACAAAGTAACAAAAATAATTAATCTTCATCGTTAATGAACTCTTCTTCTTGCTGTATAGTGGATCTTATTGTTCTGGTGCTTGTGTAAAATCCATGATGTATTGGAGGTATAAATGAAAGTAATTCCAAAAGACCTTTTTTTGCTTCGGTTATTGGACGTCCATCGCGATAAAGATAATCTAGCTCAAGTATTTACCTGGATGTCCTCTTTTTTACATCTAGAGGCTAAAAGGGAACATCTGCATTATTGCTGTATTTGTGGTAAATTGTAAATGGATTTGTTTCCTTGTATTGCAACCACTGAATCTGTAACCATTGGACTTTTGATTTTTGTGTATCAAGTTTGCGATTTGTTATATTTCTTTCTAACTTCGTAGTAGAAAAAAATCGTTTTCTCTCATCTTTATTACCGTAAAATGTGCTTTCTTTCGTGCATGTTCTATTGCCTTTATCCAGTCGTCAGGTACTTAGATATCTTTAAAAAACACTTTTTGCTTACTTATTACTCCGAAAACTTGGTCACAGACAAGGTAAGAATGTCCGCTGACTAAAAACTTATGATCAATATTTTCCACTACAATATCAGGATGTGACACAATAAAATCGCAAAGGACAGCCATTTTAATGTTACGTTTCTGCCCTCCGCATTGATCGGAATATAGTATTTTTTTTGTAACAACATTTTTAAAATAATGCAGTAAACAGGATCCTACTTCTTGAGGTCCTCGTGATGCTTGTGTATCGTTCCAAACATACATATGAGCATTATTAGTAGCCAAACTATGCACTCCTAAGACGTAAGTCCACAACTGGTGTTTCTCGTCAGAATTTCCAGTGCTGATAACTGGTGTGGGGAACGTTTGCATCAAGTCAAATGCAATCATTGTAATTTCTTCAGGATTTTGTTTTGCACACTCTGCATCTTGTTTCATACCACATATAGCACGTTCTGCTTTTCATTGGTGAACATCTAGTGTTACTTCAAATTCACGTTTTTCTGCTTGAACTGTTGAGAACTTTATTTTGTTGTTATACAAACACATTTTTTGCACAAATCCGTAATTGGTGCATGGAATCCAATATTATTGTTATCACCTTACTGGAGAGATTTATGTTATACGGAAATGTTGGTTAGACCGGTTTTGCTTTAAAACTTTAGGTCGTTAGAAGTGATTGCAATCTATAACTCAATTACTAACAAAATGTTGGTAACTGAGAACAGCTAAATTGTGGAAATACTTCTTTTAAATAGGAATATAAATATGTATGAATTATTTATATCTATTTTATTGGTTTCGTTGTTTATCATTTTGAAAATAATATTAAATTATGATTTTTTTGTATTGGATGTTCCGAATAAGGGAGAATCACCTCTAATGTTGAACATTCAATGCTCTTTTATGTTCGTCAAATCTAATTTTAAAACTTCCAATCGTTCTTCCAATATAAAATTTGGAACACTTATTACCTAAGTTTGTTGATCCTGAATTTTATGTCTGATAGCTCTATATGCTCAAAAATGAATCAGTAATCAGTAATACCTTAGCTTAAATTCATTTCTTTTAGAACAATTTATGGATAGTTTAGAATATTACATAGAGGAATAAACTAAATTACAAATTTAAACATTACTGTCGCCAGGTAGATGATATTATAACATGTTTTGTAAACTCCACACGCTTTGAAAAGTTTTAACTTACTTTTACCATAAACACGATCCCTACATTTTTACAATTGAACAATAAGTCAATAATGCCCCTTTTGTATTTAATTATTAACAAAGTATATAATAAACATAGTTTTTCTTTAAAACGTCTCAAAATTCACAATAATACCTACATCTTTTTAATAACTTATAATAACGTATTGTTACGTTTTTCTGTGGGCCAAGGGATTAAGTGAAGTATAATTAGCTAATTTTATTTAAGTCACTACAAATAAAAAATGGTTAAAGTAATAAATATCTCATTATTAATTGAAGAGTGGAAGTTTCAAATGAACTAAGAGCTAAAACCAACATTTTGAGATATTTAGTAAACACGTTAAGAAAACGCAAGGATTAATTTTGGTTGTTTATTTACACAAAAATAATAATATTTTAAAGAAACGAAATCAAGAAAACTCTTTTTTTAAATAGGAACTGTTAGTGCTGAGGATTGTTGAGGTATATAGATATATAGTATATAGTTTTTTCCGTTTTTCTATTAGCGCAAAATCCCTCTCACAAAACATAAAACTGTGGCCGCTTACCAAAATTCGTTGCTCTATAGAATTGTATACGCCATTAGAAACCAAAAAATCAAGACAAACAAAATAAATTTATGTTTATTTTGGCCACCACATTTATCGCTCCAGGAACATGGAGGCATTATTTGTGTCCCCTACATGTATTATAAAGTTGAAACAGAAAAGCTGTTACAAGTAGAACATATCTGAGTGAACTAACGTTGGCACAAACATGACCTGTTCCAGATCCATGGATAAGCAGCAAACCTTAATACTAGGTTGTTATGAATCTATTGTATCTTGCTTGAGTAGTTCTCTTGCCTTTTCGGCTTTCCATTGGTGAAATTCTAGCTCACATTTTGACTGATGGCTACTACCTTTTTTTATACGCATTTCACAGTACAAGCTATCATAGGTGTGACATGTATCCATTCGAGGTCGTCGAAGAGACAAATCTGGAAATTCGCGTTTGAAACAGATCTATAGATTTTATAAGTTACTTTAGTATCTGGATAGGGCTCTTGATAAGTTCTAAAGAGTCTATTAATATTCAAGTCCGGGCTTAGGGATTCTTTACTGGAATTTGCCCTCGTACAATGACCAATGTCGCAGGGTATTTAATTAATGTGTTCTTTTGTAATTAATGTTTCGGCAATTTTTTTTTTATTTACAAGAACTTCCAGCTTTTTCCTTGTTACAGCAAAGGTCTTCATGAATGTATTCTTACACACTTGAGCAAAGGCTCCATCTTCATTGGGCAGGGTGTAGCTTACTGTTGTGTGACGTCTACTATCTTCCTGAACCTCATAGGTACCATGTCGGCGTTTCCTAACCCGCAGAAGCTGTATAAGACCCATTAGATACGTATCTTCAGTTTTGGTGTTCTCTCGGTGAAACTTTTCAAATAAGGATTTTATATTTCAAAGGATTTTAAAATTTATATAAAGTATTATTATTACAAGATTATTTATAAGGATTCAAAAAATATATAAAGTAAGACAGAGTGCAACATGATAGGTTATGTTACAAACATCATGTGCTGGCAACTGTTTTGCTGCTATATCTTTACGTTTTCTAGTTTTATATGCTTTGCCAGTCTCCCTCAGTTGAGTTTGTTCCTTGCTAAAGTTGCCAGTACCATTTTATCTTCACTCAATGCAACTAACTGTACCCTTTAATTACAATAAAATTAATCATAATAAATTTGACAGTCTGGCACATAACCCCTTTGTAAAGCAACAGACAAGGCACATACCGCTGGAGCCATCTTATAGTCTTTCTACTAAGTTTAGTATTAGGAATAGCACCTAGCGTTTTGTTAGGACGTAGAGCATGGCACATATAACCTTTCTATGGCAATAACTCAAAATCAAAAGTTTTGGCACTTAACACCTTTAAACCTTCCACTCTTCAATTATAAATACACTAATAATTTTCGCCTACATTAATATGTAGATTTCCATCGAAGGTGAGAATGAAGAATGAGCACTTTAGTACGAGATTCCAGAAAAATAGAGATAAAGAGTTCGATAACTTTGCTGACAATGTGGTTAATTCGACTTATAAAATTAATGTTACGCCAGGGCCGCAAATTAGAGAGCATTGTGATTCATAAAATTGCCCCCTTATGTCAGGCTGTTCGCCCCGAACAGTACTTAAGTGGACCAGGTCGGTGGATTCTACCCTTCATAAGGACAGTCTCTCCAGGTGGACTTCTTCGGCTTACTTCGTGGCGTCAGTTGCACTCTATATACAAGGTTATTAATCTTTTTAGTAACTAGGTACAGTACATTCCAGGACCGCTGCAACTTGGGACAGACCCCTATGGCTTCCAACTATCGAATCTGGCCCCCTCGTTCTTCTTGGCGCTTTCAGAATCGGCAGTTGCACTCCTCGCATTGAATTTTCGAGCTTCCTGCTAAGAAGTCTATCGGCATTTAAACTGTTGCTGCTTCGTTTTATTGTGGATATTGAGAACCTGGGATTGCGTTGCTGTGGTGGGAATGGCTTGCCGGTCGATTTTCTGTCCTCTGTCCCTATACGTTGTATGGAATCACGTTGAAGGTGGCTTACAAGTTCACAATTATAATACGTTGGGTGGCCTTGACGTTGTAGTTAGAAAGAATCGGCTATTGAGCCGAGATACTTCTCGAATTGGGCGGTAATCAACCGGGGCAGCGTATTTTAGATCGCTTTCTTCCATTTCGGCAATACTTCTTAGTTGATGGACTTTATGTTGATGCAGTGGCACTACCGATGGAAGCACAGAACACCTAAATAACGACTGCTAGGAAACGAACAAAATACGAGATACGAATAAAATAAAACTAACAACAAATTGAAAATATATGGCCAGAGGGGCCATTTCTAGCATTCTGTGGTTTGATCAGCAGTACAGACTTTTGCAAACTAAGTGGAGATTCGGTGCTTGAAAAGGCAAACAAAAAAAGCAAATAAAAACCAGGCTGGGTCTGGAGAGCATTGGGGTTATGAGTCTTCGTCTCTGGCTTGCAAGGTGCCAGTATTCCCATCCTAAGTCATAGTTTTCCGAATGTTCTTCTTTACGGTCATGCTTGCCTTATGAGGTGTCTACTGTTTACTGTGTGCGTGTGCACACACAATTAGTATTTTAAGGTCCCTATGGAAGTTTTAATTGGATAAGTGCCAAGGAGCATCCGCCATAGCATCAGTTTTTTTAATCCTTGTATATATGACAAAATAAAAGTTTGAGGTTGATAATTCAAATAATGAAAAAATAATAAAAGCTGTGCCTACTTGAAAAATGTGTAATTTAATAAATTAATCTCGCGCTTATTGATAAGAGAAATGAACTTAAATAATTGTTTATTACAATCATTAACACATTATTATAAAATATAAATAGCTCGCTTGGAATGATTAAATACAAAAAATAAAACTTCTGTTACTGCTTATACATAATACTTAGTAATTTATAACATAGTATTTTAGATGTAAATATTATTTTAATGTTTCAGACAAATTATCCTTGACATTCGTAATTTTTTATGAATAATAATAATTGTAGTGGCCGTTTATTTAATTTGATTTTTATTATAGTTTTACACGAAACTAGTTTTTTCCGCCGATGTCATTAGTTTTATAGTCAGAAGTTTCAATTCGGTATATTTTGTATAATAGTAGTTTTTCCTTTTATGTGCCTTACTAATTGTAAAGTATACAGGGTGTTTCCAAGTCATCATAACTTTCATATACAACTTACTATATAAAATGCACCTAATAGCAAAGCTGCTGGATATTAGAGAGAGGAATGTACCAATTTTTTATACACTTTTAGAAGAATTCAGTACAATAGTACAAAAACATTTTTTTTTTTCGGAAAAAAAAAATTTCAAATTATTTAAACAAATTACACTGAATTTCGAGAAAATATATTCGAAATAAATAATACTATGTACCTATTTCCAATGAATAAAAATGAGATTGAAGAAATATGTAATAAAATCTTTAATAAAAAGTCACTAGGATATTATGATATTATATCTGAAACTTTAAAAAAAAATAACCAAACAGATTTCAAAACCCTTCACATACATAATAAATACATGTCTTAATTTAGACATTTTTGCAGATATTTTAAAAACTGGATTTATTAAACCACTATTCAAATCTGGCGAAGAAATATATTATCAGAATTATAGGCCTATCACCCTAATCTCAAACATAG